GTGAGAACCAGGCAGTGAAACCCTTATGGATTCCAGTGATACAATCCCCAACAGATCAGATCACAAGACTGGCACATGGCCAGGCCAATAGCCTTTTCTTTGGGAGACACCTAGATGCCTCTCAGCTTAAATGCTGCAACAGAAAGGGGGTGGGGGTGGGGGGATGATAAGTCATCTCCTGGCAACCAATCTCCTGCGCAGCCCCTTTTAGCATCCATCTGGTACCCACAGGAGAGCTTACCCCATGTTCCAAGTGAACCCAGGACTTGGTCTCCTGGCACAGAGCATCTGCAGACTCTGCCGTTATTATCCACAGGAAGGGAGGAGGGATCATGTGCACTCGGTGTAGTGGGTATGTGTTGGGTTTCAAACTGTAAGGTCAGTAGTTCGAAAGCACCAGCCACTCTGAAAAGGGAAAGATGGGGCTTTCTACTCTTGGAATATCACCAAGCATGGCAAACTCTGTGAAGATCACAGTCTCAGAAACCCACAGGAGCAGTTCTGCCCTGTGCTACAGGGTCATTATGAGTCAGTATTGACTCGATGGCCGTTGAATTTGATGCTTGGCTTTTGGGCCTCTGGACAGTGAGCGTGGGCTCACCGGTTACTTTAAAAATGTCATTTTCCATGCCATAATGCCGCTGCCGGGACACACTGCCACACTGCCCTCATTTTAGCTGCCTGACTTCGGAAAACCTGAAGGTAAACATGGGCCATCCTCTCAATGCAAATCGAGGTTCATGTAGGGGCAGACGATCCACCAGTTCTGGTCTTTCCTCGGACAGAGGGCCAAGCAGCTGAGCGAGGGCATGAGCTAGCTACAAAGGCCCTGGCCCAGTAGCTCAGTCTTTTCTCTCCTAACCTCCCTTGGATTTCTCAGTGAATGCTCACCTGTGGGCTACGGGAAGCGCTCCTCCCTGCAGAGCATGGAACAGGTGCTCCTTGTGTTTGGACCATTTGACACATTCAAGTGTCAGGCAGGGCAGTCCTAGGGGGCTACCAAAAATGCCTGGATTGGAGCCTGGGTGTGAACCCTCCCGTTGTCCCTTGTTGGCATCCAATCTGGGGAGCCTCTTTCACATTTCAGAGAACTTGCCCTTTCCCTCCTGAAGCAACATTGAAGGGTGGTGGCAGCTTTGCATCACCATTAGATGTGGCAACGCGGGCACAGCTAACACGCCATGCAGCACAGTGTACTAGGACTGTGCCTCGGTGTCTCCACGGAGACTGCTTGAGACACAAATGATATGTGTGCTCTGAAGTGGGTGTGGCTTACACCAACAGGACCTCTCGGGCTTGGTATTTTATATTCGCAGTGGTTAAACATTGGGCTGCTAGCTGCAAAGTCAGCAGTTCAAAATCAGCAGCCGCTCCACTGGATAAAGACAGGGTTTTCTACTCCTGTACAGAGTTATGGTCTTGGAAATGCACAGGAGCAGTTCTACCCTGTTCTTCCTATAGGGTTGCAACGAGCCAGCATTGACACAGTGGCAATGAGTTTGGTTGGTCTGAGGATGCCACTGGGCATATTGGGTGCCGCTGGAGAGACCAGTCACCGGAAAAGGGCATTGTGCTTGATAAAGTCGAGGGTCAGCAGAAAAGAGGAACACCCTAAATGAGATGGACTGACCCGGTGACTGCAATACTGGGCTTCAGACATAGGAAGATCATGAGGATGGCACAGGACCGGGTCTTGCTTTGCTCTGTGGCACATGGGATTGCTGAGTGTTGGAGCCAACTGGACACAGCATTGCCTAGACTTGTCCGTCCTCTTTCAGCCACTGTTCATGGAGCACCTACTACCCCTCTGGCATTTTTCTAGGTGCTGGGATAAACTGTTGAACACTGTCCACACACCCCTCGCCCTCCACTAGTTTATACTCTTGTGAAGCTGTGGAGTTAGGAGGAGAAACACAGCAGGCACACAGATGAAACCATTTCAGGTCGTACATGTGCTATGAAAAGGAAAATAGAGCAAGCCATTGACTAGAGTGATGAGTGAATGCAGGCTGGAGCAGTGGGCATGCCTGCCATCTGAGGACCCGGAAAAGTCTGCTCAAAGGGTCCCGAGGTAGGGATGAGGCCAGGGATTGGATAGAGGGGAAAGAGGCGGATGTTCTGAAGCCTGAAGAGAAGTGAGGGAGATGGGAGGGCAGAGACCCGCAGCTCCAACACAGAGAGGACTGGGAGGCCATGTGCCAGAGAGGGAGTTTGGGTTCATTGCTATGAGAGATTATCAGAAGGTTTTAAGTATGCCTTGGGTATCACCAAGTGTGGAACACCAAGCACCCATTGTTGTCCTGTCGATTCCGATTCACAGTGACCTTACACGATAGGCTGGAAGTGCCCCACAACGCTTCCAAGACTATCAACCTTTACGGAGACCGAATGGGTCCTCTTTCTCCCTCATAGCAGGTGGTGGGTTCAAACCACTGACCTTCCAGTTAGCACAGAATGCTTTAGCCACTGTGTCACTGGGGAGTCCTTCACAACCAAGCAGACCTATTCAAAAATCATAGTTGCTGTGGTTATTTTAATTGATTATGTCCTTCAGCCCACAATCACTAGGACGGAAGCATGAGCCCCCTAGAGGGCGCCAGAGTAAATGCTTTGCCACCACCTCCACCAAGGCCCTTGGTACGCCTTCAGGTGAAGGGACTGCTGGGGGGCATCTGGAAGGAGCCGGTCAAAGGTGACTTCAGTTATGACACCTGAGTTTATCATCAATTCCAACCCAAACCGAAAGGTGAATGAGCGTGGCCGGCCTGTACCGGGCCCTGGGTTTTCACTGTGGAGAACTGTTTATGATCCGGTGGGAGGGGAAGGCATGTGGGGATTATTTTTAATCCTCTCCCATCTGGTAGTATTTGAGTAGCGTAGAAAACAAATATGGAGCAAAAATTGACTTTCTGGATTCATTTGGCAAGAAAAGTGTCTCTATACTTAGTACTTTCGAATATTCATCACGTGCCACTTGGGGATGTGTTATTCTAAACGCAGTCCCAAACTCACTTGGTGAAGCTTCTTCAGCGACGTGCACCAAAAGGGGTGGCCACGTGACGCACGCCGTGGGTTATGATAAATGTGGTTTTCTCCAGATCATCAAATAGCAGCTGGAGTCAGTTGTGAAAACAACTCCGAGCGAGTCAGGGGTATGAGGAAAGAGGAGACAGAAAGGAGATTGATGGGAGTAGAGGCAGGAGGTGGGAGAGGGGGGCAGGTGGCTCTGCTGACATCTCAGGGACATCGTAAAGCCCACCCCCGCCAGAGAGAGAGAAAGAAAGGATGTGAAAGGAAGGAGGAGACTTAGAAGATCCTAGGGTTCAGACATCTATGTAAACAAGATCTGGAAACACAGCGAAGAAAACACAGTCCTAAACCAAGGCGATTCCTTCTTCCCAAACTGAGATTGGCTCATATGTGGATATTAAAAAGTGGGAGGCCGAGGTTCACAGACTCTAACGAAAAGTTCGGGGTCCAACCTCTGATCATCAGGCCTGGTACGGGGACAAGAAAACTTCTGAGATCCTCAGAAGTTTTCTTGTCCCCGTACCAGGCCTGATGATCAGAGTCATGTACCTCCCACACTGGTAGTTTCAAGCAGGGAGACTTTTGAGTTGCACTGTGAAGGCATAGCCAGGGAAGTCACCTGAGCCCATGGAGATGGAGGACCGTCACTAAGAGAGTGTATATCCTAAATGGACTCCCAGAGCCTCCGGCCAATGATGAGTAAAGCTCACACATGAAGAGCCAGAGGTCTAACAACGATGAGCAGCTTCCAGAGGTGTAGAACCTGTCCAGGCTAAGAGCCATCTGCTCCAGCCCAACCACAAGGGGCAGGTGTTTAAAGCTTCTAACATCGCAAAAGTGGCCCAGAGGCAGAGGTCTGGCCAGCCCCGTGCCAAGTGGCCTCGAGTCTAAACGCCTCCATCAGTCTGTTGCTTGAAAAGCACTTCAGGTGACAAGCTCCCCTTGGATCTGCCAGACATTTGGCAAAGAAAATATCGGAGGCCTCTGTCTATAGCTCCTAGTGAATTTCAACACTGCAGCCCTCCCTGCGAGGCCTCCTCCACAGACAAAAGGAACTCAGTCCTCACAAACACAGGTATCTATGTTTAATGGGGTAGGGGTAGAAAGAGAAAGAACAAGGTAATAGGAGACCTGTAGTGTCAGTGAGACCACACACACACACACACACACACACACACACACACATCATTTCAGACCAGCCACTTCAAAACGTCCCTGTTCAGGTGAGAAGCAGAGCCTGCATTCTTCACCAATTGCCCTCTCCCAGGTAGAGCCGACAGCATCTTGGATCCCCGAGGCAGCGAAACATGCCTCCCAGGCTTGTTGGAAGCCTGGGTATCACGTGTAATAATAATCAGAACTGACGATGTGTGAGTTCTCCCTTCACAAATGTGGGCTCTCTTTCCTTCCAGAACTGAGGATTTGTGGTCCGGAGTGCAGAAACCCAGCTTGGACTTCCAGAGTCCTTGAGGAGCTAGTGGGTCTCTTTCTCCCCAGCCCCCTTCTTTCTCCTGCTCCAGAGACCACGGGTGCACTGGGGGATGTTTGTGGGGGGTAGGACAACAATGTGGATGTCAGAGATCCTTTACTCTCCCAAAGGGTCAGGTTGGACAAAACTTTGAAATGACTAAGTTCTGATTCCCTCTGAGACAGCAGGCCTGGTGGTACTGCGTTTAAGTGCTCAGCTACTGACTGAAAGGCCAGCCATTGGAACCTACCTGAGACTCAGCAGAAAAGGATGTAGCAGTCTGCCTAAATGGGTAGCTGGGTAATGCTGTGTGGGTGCTTCTACTCTGTCCTACAGGGTCCCTTAGAGAGATTGAGATGGCTCACCAGGACACGAAGGAGCTCTTAGGTGTAAGGCACCTAAGGCGTCAGGCTGGGAGAAAGGTGGGGGGCACAAAGGGAGGAAAACAACTTGGGGTCTAGAGAAGCTTGTTGATAACTAGCCTCTGGGAGACAGGAATTACCTGGTTGATGGAAATGACCGCCAGTCTGGGGATGACCACTTGGAGGACCACTTGCAGCAGTGAGGTGCCCAGGCCGGCCAGGATGGCCCAGGTGAGCGGCAGCGGCAGCATGCTGTAGGTGGCGAAGAGGGTGAAGAGTACGTAGCCGATCCCGTCACCCAGGAGCCCGTAGCCGAGGCCTGCTGCCAGGATCTGTGTGGTCATGGCCACCCAGGTGACCACGCCGCTGTACTGCAGGTACGTGTGCGAGGTGGTGTCCTTCCTGACCACCACCAGGGCGCAGATGACCACCTCGATGCCCGTGAAAAAGCCCAGCAGGATGCCCTTGAGCGGGTCCATGGGCGCCGAGGCCAAGCTCAAGTGCAGAACCAGGAGGGTGAGTTTGGTCAGCACGTCCAGCACGTTCATCACCACCTCGGATTTGCGCCTCTGGCCCAGGAAATAGCGCTGGTAGAGGCGTTCCAGGTCCCGGGACTTGAAGGAGTTGCGCAGGGTGGGGAAAATGACCCCCCGGTAGCTGTAGCCCCCGTTGAGGAAGAAATCCGAGTTGCTCGGGGCGCAGTCGAGATGCAGGAAGCCCAAGTCGCCGCCGCCCCCGCTGGCGCTGCCGCTCCCCCGGTGCTCGGGAAAGATTTTGATGCCGCCGGTGTTGTGCGCGCGCTCCCCGGAGCCCCCCAGCGAGTAGAGCGGCAGCGCCGGGTCGCCGGCCAGTGGCGGCGCGTGGTGGTTGGGGCCGCCGCCCGCCGGGGCTGCGCTTTTGTCCGAGCCTCCTCTCCCGCTGCCGCCGCCGCCGCCGCTGCCGCCGCGGTGCCGGTGAACGAAGCGCTGCTCGGTGATGTGCCGCACCGCCGTCTGCCACAGCAGCCGCTGCGGCCGGGAGCCGCTCCCGCCGTCGCCGGCCGGGGGCGTCGGGTGGATGGTGTAGAGTTCCTCGCTGCCGCTCAGGCAGCGCACATCCGAGAGCTCCATGGCGCCAGGCCGCGGGGC